TCTACCTGCACCACCGTCGACTGCCACCCGCAGCACCACGAACACACCCACAAAACTACACCACCGTCGCACTCACAAGACCTCAACTGCACCACAACACCTCCACCGTGCACAGCACCTCCACCACACCTCTACACCACTATCGCCTGCCAAAATCCACCCCCTCTCCCAAAAGTACCACACCACAGCCACCACCCCACTAACAAGTCATCAAGTCCGCCACCGCCATTTGCACTTTCAACACCACAAGATCAACCCCCAACTCCAGCCACCACAAAATCAGAAAAAGAGAGAGACGAGAAAAAATTAAATTCCCAAAAATGTGGTAGATCTCACAGTGGAAAGTTGGAGAAGGTTAAACCAAACACGGTGGTCACCTGCGGGATTGAGCATGGGCTGAGTCAGGAGGAGACGTTTGATACTGCTGTTGTGTGTAATGGCCACCACTCACAGCCCAAGACTCGCCGTTCGCCGTTTGTCGAGTTTGCAGTAGCGATCTGTTGATCGAAGGGTGGAATCCGCTCAGCATCATCCGATGCCAGCAGTGTCGGTAGGCGCATCCCTTCATCGTCGATTTCTGGAGGTCGAATGTACCGCCGGCGTCGGAGAGAGAGAGTGGAGATGAGAGAAATGAGAGATGTCGAGAGGAGGGAGAGAAATTATATTAGGGCTTGGGTGGATACCTGAATTTTGATTAAAAAAATTTCTCATTATGATTTTCAAATACCTGGAAATATGTAATTTGACCAATTTTTATACTATTGGACCTAAAAGCTGACCTCAAGATTGGTGGGAAATAGGGTCCACAGGAAAAATTTCTCTAATTCTATTAGCTGGATCGAGAACCGGACTGGACATTGGGCTTTGAGCCACAACTTAAGCCCAACCCAGTTAACACGAGTTCAATGGAAAAATCACGTGCATGGCACACAGTAGAAGATTGCTGAGTCAGCGAGTCTCGTTATTGTTGGATAGTAAATTTATTCATGTAAAAAAATATATATAAATATAAATATCCAAAACATAGTAAAAACGAAAATTAATTCAGACGCAACGCATGAGGATACCATTTTTATTCCAACATTTTCTTTCGCATATTTTTGACCTTTTCAATTTATGATTCTGATTTCATTTTTTTTCTTTCTTTTCTACGTTGTTTGGTATATGAAAATTGGTTTATATCGTCTTTTGAGGATTTGACCTATTTTAAACTGATGTGATTATGAATAGGGATATTCTTAGACAACAGAATTACCAGTTTTGACGAATAGGAGGAGGACGGCCAGTTAAAAAATAATTTTCTACTTTCCGAGTGTTTTTGGATGGCATAGAATTTCATAATGTTTAAAAGACTTGAAATGGATGCTGAATTTCTATTGAACATTTTAGTTCTGGTGAAATGAAGACAGAATCGAACATTGAAGTTCTCTCATCTGGTGGAGACATTACACAACAAGTAGGAAGTGCAGCAGAAATTTTAACAAGGGTTGAACTAGATTTAGCGCGTTCCTCTGAGAAGTTGGTTAACTTGGACACGTTGACAGCGAGAGAATATGATTTTGAGGCTTCTGTTTTGTTAAAGTCCTTGTAATGGAGTGTCTATCAGGTTTGCTTTCATGTTGATTTTGAGGCACTCGCCAAACCACTGGCTGACATCACGAATCAGAAAACTTGATTTTGGAGTGTCCATTCCACAATCACACCATTCAGGTTGTAGCTGGTGATATCTGGATGAGTCAGCAAAATATTAGCCCAATCAGAGAAGACAGCAACATGTAATGAGGAATTCAGAGACTGGAACCAAGTGTGGTAGTTTACTGTCTCTACTCAGAAATTCCCAATTCTCTCCTCCTTTGAGATGCCAAAAATTAGAGGTAGGACGCCATATGAATAGCCATGAATCAAGTGTTAATCACACGCCACCAAGCATCATTAACTTCCATTGGCTCATTAACTTGTAAATGAGCATAGGATTGACCAAAAATCTGAACTGGACCAAGATAATCCAAGTCAAACTTCCTCCAAATTGGAGGGAGAACCAATAGGATTTTAATATACTGGAAAAGGCTCTCAAACTCAACTTTGTAGAATGTCTCAAAAACAGGAGACCGCATATGCAGGATGCAGTTCTTGCTGCCAATCTTCTGTCCCTATATCACATATCATAAGCTTGCTATCAGACACATATCCGGCCCATCTCATCTCAATAATTAGCATATCCAGGTTCTCATATATCTCTCTACATCTTGGATGAGCTTTGTCCATGGCAAGAAACATATGTACCTCCGACATGACCTCAATCCAGCTGCAGCCTGGTTCCTTTTTCAGCCTACTATACCTCATCACTTTCCGCATATTTGAAACCTCAGTCCACATCTCAGAATCAGCATAAATATTCGATAGAAGAACATAGGCAGAAGAATCCTCAGGGTCCAATTGCAGAAGAGAACTTGCAGCTTTTTCTGCCACCTCGACATTCCCATGCATCCTGCAAATACTAAGCAGGGTTCTCCAAATTACATCATCAGCTTTGAAAGGCATTTCTTCAATAAGCTTCAGAGCATCAGTAACTTGACCTGTTCTTCCGAGTATGTCCACCATAGATGAGTAATGTTCCAACTGTGGATCTAATCCGTAGTCAGTTTGCATTGAGTTGAAGTAGAACAAACCTCTCTCAACAAGACAAATATGTGCACAAGCACGAAGAACTGCCACAAAAGTTGCATGATTTGGTCTTACATTCTGAAGCTGCATTTTCTCAAAAATTTGTAACGCTTCTTCACCAAGACCATGGTTAGCATAGGCACAAACCATAGCATTCCATGTCACAAAATCACGATTAGGTGATTTATCAAACATCAATCTAGAATCCTGCATGTTTCCACATTTTGAATACATGTCAACTAGAGTGCTGTTGATGTACACATCTGATTGCAAGTCCTGCTTGATGATTTGAGCATGGATCTGCTTCCCAAGCCCTACAGTTGCTAGATTAGCACAAGTATCGAGAATTGTGGCAAAAGTGAAATTATCGGGTTTCACTCCCATTTCTAACATCTTAGAAAAGCACTTCTGAGCTCCCTCGCTCTGTTCTTGAGATGAGAACCCAGACATGATTGCATTCCATGAAACTGTTGTCTGTTCCTCTATTCTGTGATGAAGTTTCTCTGCGTCTTCCATCGCTGAGCACTTGCAGTACATATCCACTAGAACAATTCCAACAAATGTGTCCAACCCCATCCCAGACTTAATAACTCTACCATGTATCTCCCTTCCAGAGTTCAGAGCTTGCCTACCTGCACAAGCTTTTAAAGCACTGCCATAAGTGAATTCATCAGGTTCCATCCTTGACTGAAGCATCCAAGAAAATAGCAATAGAGTTTCCTCCACATTTTTATTCTGCTCGCAAGCGGCAATTATTGCATTCCAAGAGACAGCATCTCTTGTTTGCATTCTGTCGAATACACACCGAGCTTCAACCAATGCTCCACATTTTCCATACATATCCAAAATGGCATTCACTACACAAACGTTAGACTGGAAAGGTGTCTTTGTTGCCAATCCATGTACTTGAATTCCCTCTAGACGTCCATTAATCACTGCACAAGCACTAAATGCACCTGATAGGCTTATTTCATCAAAACCAAGACCAGCCTTCAACAAGTCCAGAAATAATTGCAAAGCTTCAAATCCACGATCCCATCTATCATATCCAGTAATTAAAGCATTATAAGATTGCAAGTTATGGTTTGGCAACCAATTGAACACCTTCCTCGCATCATCTAAATTGTTACACTTTGCATACATGTCCAATGTGGCAGTTCCTACAATGACATCAATTCCGAAATTGTTCTTCAATGAATGACCATGAAATTGAGAACCCAACCTCAAAGCTGCTAAACCCCCGCAAGACCTGAAAACACTTGCATAAATAGATTGACTGACCCCAACTCCCACTCTTTGCATCTCTTTGAACAGCCCTATCCCACCCACATGCTCATCGTTCTGCACACAACCTGCTATCAATGCGCTCCAAGAAACCCAATTTTTCTCCGGCATTTGATCAAAAAAATGCAGCGACTCAGCCAACCTCTTGCATTTGGCGTACATATCTAAAATTGCACTCCCTGTTACCACATCACAATCAAACCCCAACTTGACTACAATCCCATGTACCTGAACCCCCAAAACATTATCTTCTAAACCTGAACATGCTCTTAAAACAACAGCAAAAGTGGTCTCATCGTAAAAAACACCCTCTCTCCTCATTGCTGCAAAAATCTCAACTGCCTTTAAATAATTCCCATTCTGTAAGTACCCAGATATCAGAGAATTCCACGAAATCACATCTTTCTCAGGCATCATATCAAAAGAAGCTTGCGCCAAATCTATCTTCCCACTAATCGAATATCCAAAAATCATGGCGTTCCACGAAACTGTGTCTCGTTGAGACATTCGATCGAACACTTTATTAGCACACTCCAAACGGTAACATTTGATGTACAATTGAATCAAGCAATTGGTGACAAAAATAGTGGGTTTGAACCCGGATATTAGCATTCGAGCATGGACTTGTTTGCCCTGTTCTAGTGCTCTTTGGCTGGAGCATTCTTGGAATATATGGGAAAAGGTCTTTCTGTAAATGGAGGGCACTTGGGTAGCCTGTGTAACCGTAGAAAATCTATATCCTTGTTTGACAACCATTTTAGGGAAGAAATTTGATTTGGAATAGTGATTGATGGAAGAATGTGTGGTTAAAAAGAAATGAGAATTTTTGGGTTTATGTGTAATATTATTTTATTGATAGAATGTGTGGTTGAAATGAAGAAAGAGAAAAAAATGAGAAAGAAAATGAGCAAAAGAATGGGTTTCAAACATAGGCTTGGGAAGGAAGAGAAAGCGCCTGGTTACGCAACGAGAAGCCATCGATTTTTGAACTCATGCTTGGCGGTTAAGAACCTGACGAGTTTTTGAACCAAAATTTGGCGAACTATTGAAGCGTCACTTTATAAGGTTGTCCTAATAAGGAGTAAAATGCACATTTTCTAGCAAATAGCAAGTATTACATTCCTAACCTATGCAACAAGTCGAAACCGGTTTCATTTGAATGGTTTTTGAAATATTTTCAAATAACTAGCATTTTTTATTTTTTTTTAACCAAAAATACTGTAGTCTTACGAAATTTTTATTTGAAAAATGAGATTATTCAGGAATACACATTGAATGCTGAAATTAGTCATACATTGTTATCATACACTATGCATGTTGTCAATGAACCGACAACAATCACATACGACAGTTGTCAAAAAATTGTATACACGTGTAACATGTACGTAACATTCATTATTTTCTTCCTTTTTAAAATTAAAAAATTTTGCAAAATAGTTAACATATCAAATTATAGTGCATTTATATTTTCACTCGAACAAATGTTTAGTATCTAATATCGAGCTTGATACAAGTCTTACCCCATTTTGCATTATAACAAGCGTACAAGAGGTTTAAAATTAACATTAAATAGCCCACATGGCACATCTCCAAGTGGTAAAAGGGGAAGGTGGAAAAACTCCAACTTTGTTTGAGGCTATTGTGTCAAGGGTTCGAATCCTGAAATATGGATTTGGCCCTTAAGTAAGTGCAAGTGTACAAGTAGCCTTCCACCATGTACCCTTGAAGGCATAAATTTTAAATTTATTATCTATTTAAATTAGTATTAAAGTTTCCAATGAAAACAAATTAAAGGAAAAAAATATGAAGAAAAAAAAAAAGACGAGAAAAAACTCGTTCCCCCAACCTAGACAATTTTGAAAGGCAAATATCCTTCACAAAAACAAATAAATTTAACGTCTGAAGCAAACAAAACGCTTCACTTTCTCTTCAATTTTCCCATGGCGGAGGTCTCAAATCTCCACGGCTTCAACCACAGCCAACCACAGCAGCAACAGCAAACCAGAATCCCAATTTCCAACCCCACCACTGGGGCCCGTGAAGAAGAAGAAGAAGAAGAAGAAGAAGAAATCTTTGAGCACAATCCGTTTGTCATCGATTTGGATTCATTATCCCCTCCTAATAATGCGAACCCCACTTTCTTTATACATGATGATTACGACAATACCTTCAATTTCGGTTTCGATTTAAATATAGAACCCGAAAATTGGGGTTCTGAATATGCGGATTCCTTGGCGGACCCGAATTGCTTTTTCTGTGTAGGGGGGGAAGATGAGGATGATGAGGAGCAGATGAATTTTTTTACTGATCCGTTCGAGTCTCGTGAAGCCCATTTTCCAGACCACCCGATTTGGGAGTTCGATTCGGGTCTCTCGGAGGATAGGGGCATGGAATCCGGGTTCGGACCAGCTCTGGTGTCAGCAGCGGAGGTTTCCTCGCCAGTGGGGCTTAGGGTTGTCGGTATGGATTCGGAATCTGATTCCGAGGAATTCGAGGTAAATTCTGGGTTTATTGACAATAATGATGATACTTTTGATGGCTTTGGGGTTAATTATCTCATTAATGAAAATGAAAGGGAAGAGTTTGAATGGGAGGAGGTAAATGAGAGAATTCGATTTGATGAGAGCGAGAATTTGAATTCTGTGATTGATAGAATTGAGGAAATCTCAGTTTCCTCAGATTTTTCGTCCTCAGATGGTGAAAACCTACAGTTAGGTGATGGGGGAGGACGAGAAGAGAGGAATATTGAGTGGGAAGTGCTCTTAGCTGTGAATAATTTGGACAGGCATTTCGACTTTGAGAGCCAGGAAGAACGTAATGTTGGGAATGAAGTTCCCCACCTCGACCTTTCAGATGATTATATATTGACAGCGGAATATGGTACCCTTTTTGGGCAATTGGTGGAGAATGAGAATGTGATAAATGGTAGTCCACCTGCTGCGAAATCCGTGGTAGAGAATCTACCTTTAGTGGTGTTGACAAAAGAGGAAGTGGGGGAAAATAATGATTCGGTTGTCTGCACAGTTTGTAAGGACGAGGTTGCGATTGGGGAGAAGGTGACTCGAATGCCTTGTTGTCATCTTTATCATGGTGACTGCATTTTGCCATGGCTCAAGATTAGGAATACTTGCCCAGTTTGTAGGTATGAGTTGCCTACAGATGATGTAGATTACGAGAAGAGGAAGACTACGAGGAGCGGTGCAGGAATTGCTTCTCGCTTCGCTGATGATCTTCAGGCAAGGTACAATTTTGAAATTTTGCCTTGAAAAGGTGTATTAGTCTGTAGGATATGGCTATATTTTACCGCTTCGGTTAACATGTCAATTTCCTTTTTGTACTGTGAAATTATTAGGTTACCAAACTTTTATACCAATATTAGATTGAAGGTTATGTGAATTTGTCATTGTGTAAATTCTATTTTCCAACTCCATGTGTAATGGTACAATGAGAAATTAAGAGATGAATGAAATTTTACAGTTTTTGGGACATCCTTAGTTTCTGTTTTCACTTTCACTATTAATTGTTGATGAATATATCTTCGTTATTTCTCTCATTCTGATTTTAATTGGTTGGATAGGTAAGAATCTATCCAGAAGTAATTTGTGCAGTGTTGATTTGCTAGGCTGAAAAATTTGGGGTGACCCTAGTATAAATATGAATAATGCAGACTTTCTGATAGCTTCTTGAATATAATTTTTGTGTAATTTTGGTGCAAGCTCCCGGCAATCAGGTGCAGTTCTCACTTAAAATAAGGAAAAGAAAAAAAGAAAAGATTGCCTGTGCGGGGATGAATTGGGGGGTGGTTAGGAAACTTTTCAGGTATCTTACATTTTTAGACAAGTATAACTATTCTCAGATGGTGACTATGAATCAAATTTCTTGTATGCAAACCTGATTTATTAGCTTTTTCTTGAATCAAATTTCTTGTATGTGAACCTGATCCATTATATTTCTCCCTCGGCATTTTGTAGCAGAGTGCAATTTTTGCAGGCCTTTCAAGATTCATTGTAAATGTAACCTGTCAAAACTTTTGAACATTTTACATGATTTAGACAAAAGGTTCTGCTTAGGATAATTCCGAAAGCGTTACAATGAAATGCGTTGAATATGAAAGAATCTTTCTCATCGCTTAATCTTCTAGCATTCACTTGCACAATGACAGGTAAAGATATTTCCCGGCTGGGCCAGTTTCTATTTGTTAATGCATGATTTTCTAGTTGTATTTGTTAATGCATGATTTTCTAGTTGAACTTTCAATATGAGGTATCAGTTTTAATAATTTCAGTTCAATAAATTTGGGAAGTTCATTATATCACTATAGGTTAAAACTATCTGTATCTGATCAGCTGACGAGCTCTGCTGCAGATACAGATGACTTACAGACACTCACAAGGAGGGGTGGGTAGGTAATTTTTTTATTGCGCGGGACCCACCCTCATGTGAAAGGGTGTCAGGCTTCTGTAATTTTTTTTGTCGGTACAAATGGAAATTTCCTTAGTGGAAACGCCTTGAAGCATATGAAGACATTATTCCTTCCGGATACTGTACAGAAGAAAGAAAATGCATGTGCATAAGCTCTGAGTATATAAATTCCTTTGACGAGTTTTAAAGCAGTTCTTTTATGGCTCTATACAAAGTGTCTTGAATAAAGTTCTGGTTTGATTGATATTCTGCAATTTGTACAACCTAGGAAAAGTCTCGGGATAAATGTAACCTTTGAATAAATGCATTAACAAAAAAAATAAAAAAAGTTCAATTTTAGTTAACAAAAAAATAAATAAATTATTTTTTACAAAAATAACAATTGCATAGGGCAAGAGGCTCACGAGATGGCTTAGCTTGCCCCCACCCAAATGTGAGTAGGTGGGGGTGCCAAGGCTGAAAATCTCAAATTGTGTTGGCTCATGCTCTGTTCATCTCAAAGTGATCGCGAGCCAATTTGCTTGGTGGGCCGAGCTAAGCTTGGGTCGACAATTCCATTCAATTCGGCCTGAACTATTGACATTCTTATGCTCGAATCATAATTTATGTGTTAAGATAAGCGAAGTATGTCGACAAACCAAAGTTAAACTTTGAATAAATGCTCTATCAATTTCCAATTTATTCAACTTTCAAATGCTAATTAATTTGATGATATCATGATATGCAATATGCACACTATGCTCCACGAAGGATTGAAAAGGGCAAGAAAAAAAAAATTAAATGTTGAAAATATTCCAAAACTCCATATAAACTACGATATAAAAGAGGCTAAAAATAATATTAAATACAGGGTTGGAAGAATATCTGAAAAGTAATTTTGTCTATAAGATTTTTTTTTTCTTTAGAATAATGCTATCTAGCATTAGTGATGATAGAGCATCAGTTTATTTACTTTTTGTGATAATTTAAATTACTAATTTCCATAAATTTTATTTATCGACAAATTTTTTGTTAAAAATAAAGTAATAAAAATAAAAATAAATATTATTGACAAGAAACGTGAAATTTTTATATTAACAAGATAATAATTCAAAATTTTAAAAATAGAATTTTCTATCAGCGATAATTTTTAAAACTATATATCTTAATAAATTTAACGTAGTGATAATATCTCCATCTTTAAAATATAATAATAATTAACTGAATTAAATTACATAACAAAAAATTATGTTAGTGGTGATAATCAAGATTAGAAACAAATGTTAGAAAATTTTGCCTATAATTAAATAGCAATTAGAAAACAATTTTATTCGGCATTTATATTACAAATTAAAAAATAATTCTATAAAATAAAAATAAATAAATAACAGTTTTTCATCCGTAGCAATGTTTCTTTATCAATTATCAACGATTGTAGCATCATCTTTGAGTGCCGACAACATTATGGACTACATTGTCGTCGATAATCTCATAAAGGTGCATAATAAATAACTGATGATATCACTGTCGGTGATTCCATCATAAATGCATAATCTACCTAAACAAAAGCAGTTCGTAACTTTTGTTTGGCTCGAAAACCCCAGATTTTAGCCATTCACTCGATGAAGTTAATTTTATTTTTTTTATCGATCATAACCTAGAGGAAGTGTACTAACGGATTTTTTTCTAGGGCCGTTAGTCAAAATGGGAAGATATTCTACCGGAGTCTTGGTCATTTTGACTATATAAAGGATTTCGTGGAAGCTCGAACACATTTTATGTAAATCTTCCCTGGAAATCAAAAGAGAGGCTACATTTACAGGGGCCTGTGAAGATTACACACAAGGGGGGTGGGGGCCACAATTTTTTTTTCAAAATACATTTGGTGGGGCCCTGCTACAGTGAGAAGGCCGTAAGGCCCCCGTGAAGCTAAATTCTGTACATTCAGCTTAATTCGAAAATCAATGCCAAACATATCCTTAGTTTAGGACATCAAATCTTTGTATTTGATTATAAATTTAGGCCTATTTTGGTAGACACACAAAACGATTGTGCTTATCAAACTACGACCTACTAGTTCAGTAGGATTGGATGCATATTATCTTCTATCTCACGATTTCTTCACCTACTACTATCTCACTTTTATCAATTTTCACTTTTTTTATTTTTAGAAAATAAATATATTTTTTGAACATTTGAATTATTAAAAGAAATTTCATATATAAATAAACTAAGAACAATATAAAATTTAAACACTAATGTTAGAATATTTTGTCGTGATAAAATAACAACTGTAAAAAAATCTATCCCAAATTAATATTACAAATTAAAAAAAAAATTCAAAAAAAATAAGAATAAAGAAATAGTAAATTTGTGTAGATAACAATAGTTCTCTCTTTCGTGAATCAACTTGGTATCGTGGAAGTCATTTCACGAGACGACGTCATCGACAATATTGCAGTCGGTGATGCATCATCGACTATAAACAATAGTATCATTGTCGAAAATTGCATCCTAAGTTACCTAAAAATATTAATTTTTGTTATATCACCCATAATAACAACAATGGATGATCGCACACTTGCTCCGTTTAATTTTTCTATCATTATTTATGAAAAGGGTTTCTTCAAAATTTGTCTATGGATTGAAAAGAAATTTATTTTGTCTAAGGTTTGTGAATTGCTTGAGTTGCCTCTACTCATAATACTACTCGTCGTCCACTTGTTTACACCGAGGGTTTCCACCCGCTTTCACTGGTATGCTTCTCTGATGCCATCATTTCCTTCACCAACATTGTTTGCACAGTGAAATATTTTTATTGTTTTCATTCTGTTTTGCGTGAAAAACAAGATTTGCAAAAAGATTTCCACATTTTAAGAAAAATATTCTCAATTAATTTTATCATTACAATCATCAGATCTGTCGTTTCATTATGTGATAATTAAATAATTATCTAACGAGACGATTCAATAAGGTACATATTTTCGGAAGATAGTGTTGAGAATTTACTTAATCATGTACAGCGGAAAATAAAACAAATTTCTTTGCATTGTGTTTAGATAGAAACTGTGATAAGAATTATACATTTGATGAATTTCACAAACTCATTTACTTTTTCTTGAACTCCAATTATCACGATCTACAATCAAATCTGTCTAATTGTTCAGCCTCCAGTGGTGATCCACAAAGAGAACAAGAATGGCGACTAGTTTTTTCTTTTCTTGTGTTAGCAAGAATAATGAATTATTCCATACGTTTCNGAAGTTTTCACAGTGAACCAATTAAAATACTCACTTCATCCCATTTATATTGGCTTGTTTTGTTTTTCACACGGATTAAGAAATCTTATTTAATGTTATTGGAAAAGCATTTTTTGCCAAAAACTTTCCTAATTTCCCCTCATTTAATTATCAATAACTAGTAGTAAATTATTATTGGAAGCAGTAAAGAAATAAGGTATATTAGAAAACGAACAAAACAAAACATTCTTAATAAAGAAACAAGACTATATAATTGAGACAAAAAAATAAAGAATGTGAGCCTATATAAATGGGACGGAGGGAGTATTAGTGGAATTAAATGGTTATATGATCAAGCTTTGTTGCAGTAATGAATCACCAATCAAAGCTTAAGATGAAGAAAGCACATAAGGAAAAACTATATCCTAACTGAGCATTCTACCCATTCCTTCCCTAAAGAGGGTATCCAGGGAAATTTTATTATGAGAATAAAATGGTCCAACATAAGTTGCACCAATGTGATATATATTGTTTTATTTTAACTAACACTTACAAAGTATTCACAAGCAAATTAACTGAAAATCTCCAGTCAAAAAAGTTCATAATTTGATTCCGAAAGAAAACGGTTTGAACAAGATTGATAGAACACATGGTCACATGTTGAATCTTCATATATTTTCACACTTGAAAGGAAATAAATGAACTTAAAAATGACTGCACGAATGCAGAGTTCTAGCATCTCTAACTCAGCTATTAATGCAGCATAAACACACGGCTTTTCTTTTTCTTTTTCTATCAAGGGAAGAGATAATTAACTGTAGATATATTTGGCGTTTTGAAGTTCAATACTAGAATGAATATTTTTTGTTTTTATTTTTCCATCAAAATCATTGTCGTACCAACGCAATTTTTAACAGCGTTCATTTTAGTAAAAACCTTAGTTCTAACTTCGAACGTTTGATCAATCTTTCTATCAAATGGGGTTTCATTTTTATTAGGCACCTTTACCTTTTTTAGCCATCAACTAATTCAAAACTTGTGGCAAAATTTGGAAAGGACCAGAGAAACAAGATTACCTTCTTGAAGTGCATCAGAAATTTCTTCCGTTGTCACATTTAAGGCTTTGAGAAAAATAGAGAGATTCTGTGACTTTTTTTGATCAATTATTTGAATGTGTTGAGGAAGGGAATCTTGAAATGAAGACCCTTTCTTGCCCTTACTTTCAACTTTCGTAGCAGGATCATATCCAAATAGATTCTCTATCATCTCCTCATTGAACCTGTACATAGAGTTATCTCATGTCTCTCAGACAGCTTGACAAATCATTATCATCTAGTATATGAGAAGCATCAACAACGAGGGAGGAATAAACTTACTGGAATGACCCAGCTTTGATCTGATCCCAAACCATTGCATTATCAGGGTTGGCCGATACCTTGTCCCAGAAAAAAGGCTTCAGCTTGGTCTTGGAAGCCGCACCATCTCCCCAGTCACTTGAGGCAGAAGTGGACTCATGATTTGGTCCAAGAGGTGAACGTCGAGGTGGTTTCAAACCTATGAGAGGTGGTCGAGGTGGAGGAATACCACCTGGAGGTGGAGGCGGACGAGGACCAGTTTTTGTGCTAGAGGGTATAGGAGGTGGAGGAGGTGCTCCAGGAGGTGGAGGATGAGGACCATTAGATGTAGGTTTTATAGGTGGTGCTGGTGGTGGTAAAGGTGGGGATGGGGGAGGAGCTGTGTTGCCTAGAGGTGGTTTTGGAGGATTTGTCCTTCCAGGGGGTGGCTTCAGAGGAGGACAACCTGGTTTACCTAACATTCCAGGCGGCATTTGCACGAAATCTTTCCCTGAGTTGATGCCAGATGCAGCAGTGGTACCAAATGGCATCTTAATTTCTGAATCAGCATAAAACTTGCCATTGGTCTTACTCTGGTTCAGTGAACCATGAAATAACTGATTACCTTGCTGGTCTTCTTTCATTAAAGTTGCTAGATCAAATGACTTCCGTGATGAGGCTGAAGATAGGAATTTAACAAAAAATTAGAACTTGAAGATGCAATATATACTCTTATGGAATGTTTGGTGAGGTGGATTAGGTAGTACTCGACAATATTAAGAAAGAAAAAAGATATACAATATTGTCATTGTATTGTCCAGCTCAGTCTCATATTGCATACTAAGCATGCACTTGAGATGATATCATATTTTGGGAAGTAATAATTTTACCAATAGAATGGTCACTTAAGCTTAAGCAGAGAAGTGGCTTCTCATCGTTTCTTCCCCGTTGATTGCCAGTCCTGCAACAGCAGAAACATAAAAGTGCAGCAACAAGTGAGACTGCAGCAATTGTAACAGCGGCAATAACAGTTCTCTTGTTGCTCTCTTTCTTGCTCGACTGCTTTTTTGAAGCAGATTTTTTACTTTTAGAAGAATGTTTACTAGTTTTAATCTGCAAGCTTGAATCGTTCAAGTCGGGAAGGAAAAATGGAAGCCATGGGGGATTAGCAGGAAATGGAGCATTAGAAGCAGTTGGAATCAATGTAGCTTGACTAGGTGGTGAAACTGTATGGGCCGGTGATGGTGCTTCTCCAATTCTCTGAATTAGTTCACGTCGACTAGAAGAATCAGGACTGGCAAATAACAAATACCTAGTGTACCAACTTTTAAAGCGTTTCTCTTCCCCACAAACAGGAAGCATGAGATTTCTTTCCCTTAAACAATCTAGAAGGATTTTTTTAACCTGAGGGTGCAAACAATTGGCAGTTTTATGTATATCTGCTTTGCCTGATAATCTATCTTTTGAAAGTTTCTTGCTGTCAACCGATCTCTTTTCTGAGGCATATGATTCAAGATCTTCTAAAACTTTCTTGGCATGTATCAACTCAACCCTACAGTTTAACCATAAAAATTCAACCTGCAGCAAAAGAATTCAATTAGTTTTGCATATGTACACAACAGGTCTTTGTAATTCTGGTCAAGCTTATCTCTAAGCCCCTGTTTGGCCCCCATTACATTCAATTACGTTACATTAATTTTTTCTCTCTCTTCATCTCAACCATACATTCATCAAATAAAATAATAATACACACGAATCTAAAACTTTTCAACCACACATCTCCCATCAATCACTATTCTAAAAATTTTCAACCCTCTAAAAATCTACAATAATGGGGGCCAAACAGGGGCTAAATTTGAATCACAAATTCTATTATTTTATTTATTAGAATATTAATTCAATTAAAAAATAGATATTACCATAAATATGTATCGATTATATATAATAAAAGTGTTTATATCCAAAATCGATTAGACTCAGGGCATAACACTTACAGACAGGTTAGATGAAATGATGCTTGAAAATTATTGCAATTTTTACACAATTATTATATTTTCCTTTCTTTTTTTTCTCCAACTTCTTTTATGTGAAATTAGTAGTTACAGAAATTACATTTTGCATAATAATAATAATAATAATAATAATAATAATAATAGTAATAGTAATAGTAATAATATTACTATTACTATTACTATTATTATTATTATTATTATTATTATTATTATTTTCGCTCTTAGAATTGATTTCTTATGCATGTTTAATCATGAGGATATTTTGAAGACAAGTGGGGATTATTTCATCCATCATTATGGCATTGAATTTTCGAGTATTTTTTGAATTGTTATTAGTGCACAAAGAGGAAGTTTTTATATAAACTACACCACCAAAACAAAAGTCCAAAAATTTAGAAAATCACCAACTATTAAATTTATGTGAGGTAAATTTAGAACGGACTCCAACATTTACTTTCTCATGATTCAATACAAAATGCACATTTAAATTTTAATTGCTGTATACATAAAAAAATTTCCTGTAATCAATAATTTCTTGCTCGATTTTTTATAATAATTAATGTGATTTTAGATCTTAACCGTTTCAATCTAGATTTATCAACACCAAGAAGGATGAATTAAAAGTTTGTTTGAGACCGATTATTTGAAGTGAAAAAAATAATTATTGTGAGAATTTGTGATTAAAATGTAGAAAAAAATTGTATTCAAATTGCAAGAGCAAGATTGTGTTACCAAAAAAAATGTCTAGTTGAAAATGAATTTAAAGAAAAATAATTTTCAAAACCTGGAGCTGATGTACGACCACCTTTACTTTCAATTGCATTTTGCTTTGATTTTCTTCAATGGCCGTAAGCTGTGCCAAACAAATGCTAAGATTCATAGGAGAAATTCTTAATAAATTTTGGGAAAATTAGGATTGCACTCCTCAATCTTTCAAGTAGTGTGGTGATAATAGCACATTTGTTACTTTTTCACACATTAATATTTTGCATTTCTATGATTATTTGACGCCTAAATGCACTAAATACTTCTATATTTTGGTTTAGGTTGCAAATGGGTGAAAACGGTGGAAAATTGAAGAGAAGAGCAAAAAATGACCAAAATGGAATAAAGTGAAAGTTCAATATTGAATTTTATTACACATTTGAGATGATAATTCAGCATTTTTGATGCTTTAAATATTCTTATACCTCCTTGTGGATACGACACTCCAAAACTACACTATAACTACCGCGTTATTCTTTGAGAGTAATCATGTGGTTTTGGGTCCCAGCATATTTAAATCCGTGATTTTGTGTTCCCAGGTGATCAAAACCCTCAATACAAACGTTGAAATTAAATTTCGATATTGATATAAATTTTTATCGACTTCATTAGTTGAACCAATCATGGATCATTTCACGAATTTGGGGTGTGCTCATTTTTGGGTGTATGTTTCGACTATAACTACAAGTATTTGATCGTATCATGTCTAGAACGCGACATACCCATGTGTAAAATGATTTGATTCTTATCATGTCAAGAAATATATTGTTGAGGAATCTTAGGGTGTGATTATTTCAGTGTCTAAGCATGCTGAAAAAAAGATATGAAAATAAACAAAAGTACCCCCAAGATTATAAAAATGTCTACAAGAAAGGGTGCATGCCACCTCTATTTGGGGTATACAGCAATTAGCTCCTAGGTAGACCATTCCATCAACCTATGACCTATCCTTTGGAAAGCTGTATCTTCAATAATTAGCATCTCAGAATATTTTCCAAATATTTTGCTATACAAGTTGGCCAATTGTGAAAGTGCGGTACAAAATGTGTCATATCCATTAAAAAGTAATGTATCTGATTATCGACTAGTATGTTTAGAAGCGTTTAGACCATATTAACTCGTATAATCGCATTTGGTAGAATGAAAGATTTCTAGAGAGACTGGATAATTGGCCTTGGAGTATTTAGGGCTGTTAGACCATTCGTGTGATGTCATATTCAACACGTCTTTATGTCATTTCAAGATTATTAAATATTCTTAAAAAAAATTGAAACTGTCTACATAAATTCTTTTTCGTCACTATTTATGACTCATTTAAAGACTAATGATAAAGATGAATATTACTAGAATTTGTTCTCTCGCATAGCTACTAGAACTCCCAAAACTCCGCACGAAATCGGAAATTTTGCAGTACGACCTCAATGTGTTATTCTAATAGTGAATTGGTCTCTAACTTTTAAAAAGAAGCAAAGTTGGTCTTCATCAACTTTTCATTATTGTTTTTTAAGCGGTCTGTCCAAAATTTCTAACTGAACATCACATGTTCAATGCTTCTCGTGTCAAATTTTATTAGGCTACTATGAAATATTTACTTATGGGTAGGGCAAGAGTGTGTAAAATCAGGTACTTCTGCTCGTGCGAAATGTCCTGAAGAAAAGCGAAAAGTAGGAAGCTAAGGCTCCATGGTAAAAGAATAATAGCAACTCTTCACCAATTCATCGATAAAAAAGAAAAAAAAATGTTAAGTAGATCTCTATAAGGGTGTGTTTGATATGCCAAATTGAAATATTTACTTATGGGTGGGGCAAACTCTTCTATTCTGGTTTATGGTTTCTCTTGGCTATATGGTTCATCCGGGGGAGAGATCGAGTTTCAAGAAATAGTGAATGGTCTCATCAATACACAAATGTATAACTCCCCAAGCTAGTTTTATTTTTTTAAATTTGGAATGTACCTAGAAAAATACAGGGATTACGTTGCTCATTTTAAAATGTTGAGGATCAACTTGTTATTCAAGCAATATGATGGGACTAATGATACAATTTTTTTCTTAATCAAATACCATCAAGGCGAACTGGTTATCAGCAGTCCCTTCATCATAGAAAGATGATCATATTTTCCGACAGCATTAAAAGATAAAAAAAATTACCAAAATGTTTTGTTTACATCAAATTTAGTGTAAAAAAACGCAGTGTCAATTTGTCATATATAGCCAGACGCCTTTTCTATCCACATTCTTAGTGGATCAAGAACTTACAACAAGTACGTAAGCCCATTGTTCAAATGTGTCCAAAATACTTGTAATTATTCAAATGCACCACCCACAAGTTTATTAATATTAATTATTTATAAAATGTTTTTGTAACATAAAACAAACAAATTTAGCATTATGGTGGTTTATTTTATGTATTTTTAAGGTAAAAGATTGAAGAAGGGTAAGCAAATGATGAACTTATCCATACTCAACAAATCTTTGTACATCTCTTGACCTCATTATGCTCCCGTTTGACACGCATTTGTTGCCATTACTTTTTAACCATACATTCTTCCATTAATCGCTATTTCAGAATTTATTTTTTCTCCAAAATGGGTGTCAAACAGGGGCTATGCATAGACAATAACTTTTCTTAATTTAAGAATAATAATTTATGTTTGGAACAAAAAATTACGAGCAGGCTCAATCAATTTTAAGCGGTTTCTTGTTTTCGAAATGATATTATATGTTCAATTGAGTAAAATTGAACAAGATTATATAAAATTTTACTCGTTGTATTATACGGTATTATGAAAGAAAAGAAAAATCCCTTATACCTAAACAAGTTAGGACAAAAAACTTTGATTGCTATATGGAAAATCAATTGCCTTCACTACTGCCATGAAATAAAAACTTTGTGAAGGTTACTTGAGTGGGGTGCATGAATGGCTTGCATGTGAAAATTGAGAGCCACATCATGGGCTAGAGCACCTGAATAAAGTTTCATTGTATTATTTAAAGCCCATAAATCAATCAAACAAGGCTTTTCTTACATTATTTTTGTACGGTTTGAACGAAATCGCGTTCGTAAAAGTAACATGATCTCAGTAGACTAAAATTAACACGGTCTCTTGTACGTGTTAACATTCGAACCGCATCGAATTTTCGAAAAACGAATTCCGTAGGGTAATAAAAATGATTGATACAGTTGACTCTTTGAATCATGGACAATACTGAAGTACCGACAGTGGGTGGATGGGGTGGGTGCACCCGCCCACAAGTATGGCCCAGCAGGGAGAATTATTATCATGCGCCTATACTTTTTTTTAGTCAGCAAACCGTAATTCACATATGGAGAAATGAGAATTATTGTTTGGTACTACAAGGGGTGTTAAATCAAGTACCCTCCGTGCGATACCCTGGCCGTTAGTTTAGGACTCTGCTTCCATTTGATTGATTCTTTACCATTTGATCGATTCCTTTCACATTCTATGATTTCCAAAATGCTCCTTCATAATTTATTAATTTTCCTTTTCACTCCATTCTTTTTTATGAAAGTTGGGGTTATAATGGGAAAGATGACGATATCAAGCATGATTTGTGAAATATGGATAAGATCTAGTGACATGAGGTTGTGCCTCAAGTGGGTAATATGTATTTAATCATTTCTTTCACATCAAAAGAAATAATCGAGTCTTTTTATTATTTTATTTTTTGAGATACAACAAAGGAAAAAGAAGTAATAATCATTAAACTCTTGACCTCAAATTATAAATACAACAATCCTTGACCAACTAAAGCAAGAAGAATTGATTCATCTTGTTTTTTCCCCTCTTTAAATTCTCAAAAATTATTAACTTGTATCTATCAAAAATTTGTACCTAACTTGTATTTCTTACCAAGTCATGCTTGTAGATTAGTCGTTTAATGAGCGAGAAGGGGTCTGTGATCGAGAACATATGTATATTGTATATGATATACAATCGACTTCTTCCAATACGAGTTATATAATTTAATATATGGAAAATAAAACAAAATGTTCCAATAAATAATTTGTAGTGGAGTGAAACCAACTTGTTCATGCCATATCTTTTTGTATAAATGTTGATTCAAAATATCAAGTTTGTAATTCATTACTCATGAAATGCACATCACTCCAAGATCAAATTCTGATGGCAAAAAATAGCATTCATGGTTGAGTTTAAAAGTAAGTCCAACATATATTTTCAAAAATGTTTAGATATGTGACCTTTTTTATAAAATAAAAGAGTAACTTAATTTGACAGAAGATGTAAAAAAAATTCAAGCATAAACAAATTTCCAAGTGGTGGTTCTGATTCTTGAAGTTCCTCATTTTTTAAAACTCATATTTTTTCCAACCACATATTTCATGCATCCACGAGTTTCATAGACTTTTCAACCATAATTTTATCAATTTTTATCAAAATTTATTAAAAATCTAATTTTTAGCAAAATCAAACTGGGCTAACGGGTGTACCATATAGTTGGTGTCATCATTGGTATGGAGGAAAATGGTAACTGCAATGCTATGTGCACAAAATTGAGTTACAAAATTATGACAAAATGAGTGTAGTAAGATTCAGGCCTTTGATTTCAAAAACTATTTTTATAATCGTTGGCCTAGATCTTGCCGCGCTCATTTTGTAACCCAATTTTGTATTGCTCAAATGGTAATCCCTAAAGTAAGCAATAGAAGTACCAATTGACTCAAAAAGGTATCCTCATGTATTGTATTCAACAGTACTCATTAAAGGAAGAACAAGAAAAGAAAGAGTAGTCAAAATCTGTCTAATGATAGAATAGGCCATTTTGGCCACTCAATATGTAAGGAGGCTCCATGGGATTATGGTTTCTTGTTGCATTATAACCTTCTTTTGATTAGTGGGAAAAATGCATTTCAATACCACCTTCCTATCCTCCCCACCAACCATACAACATCTTTACAAACTGAAAAAAAAAATGGTTATTGAGGTTCATATCTATTCAAAGTGCACAACACCTTCCTACTATGTAAGGTGCATATTTTTCAATTTTTTTTTCTTTCAAACCGGTCCAGTAGTGTTTGGTCCACCTGCCAAATGCGTCATTAAGCGCACATGAAAATATCTATAACGATTCTAGAAATAGTTTATCAAGACAAATAAAACAATCAGTAATTGCACCTCCCATATGAGGCTGTGTATGATAAATCCATTCAGATTTGAGCTCGACACATCAACTAATTGATGAATCATTTACTTAGTAGCAACATTTGTGGCGAAAAATAAATATCAACTAGCTTTAGATACTTGAATCCAGAACAAAAGTTCAATTATTTCCCAAGATTCTCATCAACTGGTGCTATTAATTGAATGAAATCCCAGAAATTAAAATGAAATAAAATCAGCAAATATTTAGCTGCAAGGGAAAAATAGGCATTAATCCATCTCAGTTTAATGAAACTCACTGCTCCAGTTCAGTAACTGGTTAATTCTACTGAGCAACAACACTTGAAAACAGTGAAATACTCTTCACCTTCACCATTATAAACATTTTTCAATAAAAAGTCAATATAATCTGGATATATATGATATGATATGATGTTTTATTTCTCATGTACTATTAGAGAGATGATACCATAAAAAGTGGTTGTTGAGTAAGTCACCAATTTCTTCATACTATATTTCTACTTTTGGAAATGGAATTGCCTTCCCTACCCAGTACCTGCCATTTTCTCCAATTCCTATATGTCACCAAATGTATCGTAAAAAATTCTCCATAGCCAGCCCCATCGGGCATGACTCAGTGGTAAAGCAGGAGAGTTCTCTACGGAGTATTGAATGTTCGAATCCCTACGGCAGTTGAAAGGCAATATTTATGTTGGAAGACCTGTCCACAGGGAGTAGAACTGTCAAATGTCCGGTCCAAATGTGTATAATAAAAAATAATTATAAATAAAATCCTCCAAATCCCTTTTTTTTTTTTTTTCCCCCTTCCCTAAACATTCCCAAGTTGAATAATTATAGCCCCCACAATAATATCCCTCTCTCACTGATGTAAGCATTTTTTTATGGAAAAGATTATCCACAACTCAACTAATAGATTGGCCTAGATTATGTATTCATGTTTCATGGCAAACATGTATACATGTAACAACTGAAAATACCATGGACACAAGACAGATCTGTGCATCAAGCATAGTTATGATACTACATAAGTGCATACGTGTTTGGCGTCATAGTACAGTGGTCTCATCTTTGAGGAACTCTACTGTTACTCAAAGTGATAGAATGGGGCCACACAACCTCTTTCAATACTATATAATAGCCCTCTTCTCAGGTTTCTCTTCGCCTTCTAAGTTCTACCAACAACTTCTACCTGATATCCCTTGAGGTCATATTTACCCTCAAGTACAATGCAATCCAGTGAGGTCACAGGGATTCATTATCTACTTCCTTCAAATCCAACGCAGTATCCAACCCATTTTGACACGATTGATAAAAACATGGCAGGATATCAGTTAAACAGATTTTCCAAATCTCTATATCAATTTCAGATGGCTCCCCAATTTACAGAATTCAATCCGCAATCAACATATTTCAGCAGTAACTCAACTTCTGATGAAGCGGATGATCAACAGCTGAGTATAATAAACGAAAGGAAGCAGAGAAGAATGATTTCTAACCGGGAATCTGCACGAAGATCACGTATGAGAAAACAAAAGCACTTGGACGAGCTCTGGTCACAGGTTGTCTGGCTTCGAAACGAGAATCGACAGCTCATAGACACACTGAACCATGTCTCGGAGAACCATGATCGAGTCCTACAGGAAAATTCTCAACTCAAAGAAGAAGCTTCGGAGCTTCGCCAAATGCTTACTGACATGCGGCTCAATAGTCCCTACTCTTGCCCGAGAGATCTTGAGGACGATCCGTACACTGATTTGCCTTAAAAACTAAAATAACTATTAAACCTGCAGTTCTTGATTTCTGAAGATTTGCTTTGTTGAGACGAAGGCAGCAGTGATTTTTGTTTTCCCTCTCTTCTTTTCATTGGGGGGCATCAATAAGAAATATTAGATTTCTGTTTAATTTCTCTGAGTTGAAGTATCAGTTCAATAATGTCTTATATATATAACATATCACTTTTGTCATTACTAGATAGGGGTTCTAGACATGAATTCCTCCATGACAATAGATTTCTGCATTCGCTAAGATCTGTCTGTGTCAATGTTCATGTACATAACACAAGTGTAAGTGTGGCGGACACACATCATACACTCCCGAGTATATGATATAATGGGGACTGGCCCATCACATAATTTTCACAATGATTGTACTATTCACGTTTAGATTTGCAAATCATCAAATATAATAAAAGAGCAAAGACAGGAACGAAAAAACTAAGAAAAAGAAAGAGAGTTTCTTAGATCTCTATGCAATATTACCAGAAATGGATTATTGGTTCTTCCAGGTGAACTACAACAGAGAAAGCACAAAATGTACTTGCAGAAGGATGTTTTGGACAAGTTGGTTCGCAGTATAAACTAACAGAAGTAAGAAGAAAATGATTTTGTAAGAGCATTTCCAAGTTTTAGCAAAAAATTATGTCCTGTGGCAGCCAATAGGGGCCACCCCAGCAAAGTCAGAGAAACCTCGATTGCCCTAATATTCCTTACTGTTTATTAAAGGAACACAGTGTATGATGGGTCTCCCCAGTTGCGATCATATTAGTCTTGTTTCACCATTGTTTTCGTTGGATGGAGAAATTTAAGTTTGGAATTGATGTTTCAGAAATATTTGAATACAGATGGGTTGTGGAGCAATGCTGCACGTAACAGAATTCATAGAGAAAAGACACAATAAGGGGTGGGTAGTTTTTTTTTTCAATATTTTACTCCAGTGTGGCCCACCCCATGTGAGGTTTCTGTATGAATTCTGTCGACAGAATTCTGTATGTGCAGCATTCTTCGCTTGAGAAATGTAACATATGTTTGAATCACATTAAAATTTTCATTCTCATTCTTCTACGCATTTTCAATCATACATTTTTCAACAAAATAATATTTTTCATCACATCAATAACTCTTCCTTCTTTTTCAACCACACATTCTCCATCAATCTACTATTCCAAAATACATTCTTCCAAAATAACGTGGCTCAAACACGCTCGTAGTTTGATAAAGACTTTTTAGAACTCATTTTAATTACACATTCTTCTCAACAAGTAATTTGCACGTGAATATATAATTTTTTCTACTTTTAACCATTTTTTTTTAAAATTATTTTTCACAAACTGCATTCTATTTTTTTTTTTTTTACATCAAGCATGCCATAATTTGAATATTTAGATCTTAACTTTCTAATAATTGTAGTCATACATTAGAGTTCAATACTATAAAAGTTGAATGTGTTGTTGCAACCAACTATTTCTGTACGATAAACAGAAGAATACATGCTGGGGCGGACGCAGAAGTTAAAAGTTATGGGGGGCACAATCGAAATTGCAAAGAAATTGAGAGAAATTTTACTAACGAAGATATACGTTCAAAAAAATCATCCACGTGTAATTTTGCTGAAATATAACTTTTTCGGATGTAAAATTTCGAAAAAGTTTTATATTATATGCCATATAAAATTTCCTAAGAAAAGGATGAAAATTACATTGAGAAATTTATATTACAAAAATAATAAATGTCAATGAAATAATTGAATTTTTAAAAAAGAAAATGCGAGTTAAACGTCTTTCTTTAAAACTCACGTTTAACATATTTTTAACTATTTTTTTTTTAAAGAAAATGCGAGTTGGTGGTGGCAATGATGGTCGAGTGGGATCAGAGTGTTTGTAACCAATAAATTGAATAATTTGTAACCAATATATAATATGTGTTCTAAAAAATGTGATCGTGGCTCACAATTCATTAAGTTGTGATCAAAGAAACAGTTTGTGACCGTTAAATAAGTTGTGATTTATAAAATTTGTGATTTGTGACCGTGAATTTTGACCTATAAGTTTTTTTATTTTGTGACCAATAAATAAATTGCGACCTATAAAATTTTTGATTTGTGATCGATAAATTATTTGTGACTTATAAATTTTTTTGAATT